TATATTAGTTCTGACTAAAGTAAATGGTTTATATTTATACCGGATCTGTTCTAGAATTCTCTTGCTTTTAAGTCGTAATTTCAGCTTATTTAAACTTTAATTTAATAGTATAAACTACACTTAAATATCAGGATTAATTAAATTAAAAAATAAACCCAACTAATAATCATTTCCCCTTATTTTACAGCTTCGACTGCCATGATCCCTGCGTTTTCACTGCTCCCACGGTAACCGGTCTGCTGGAGCATTACAAGGATCCCGCCTGCGTCATGTTCTTTGAGCCCTGCCTCACCATACCCCTCCATAGGCGTCAGACCTTCTCCCTGCAGCAGCTGGCACGTGCCACCATTGTCTCCAATACCAGCTACGATGGGATCAATCAGCTGGAGCTACCCGGCGCCTGAAGAGCTACCTCAAGGAGTACCATTACAAGCAAAAGTTGCGCGTCAAGCCCATCGATCAGAACACACCGGTGCCGTATTACGGCGATGTATAGCGGGAGGAGCAACAGGTGGGCTTCACCTACTACGAGGATGTGGAGAGTGCCAGCGAGGATGATGACGAGGATGATGAGGGCGTCAATATACGCGTGTCCTATGTCCAGCATGCCGAGGTGGTGGCCCAGCTGCAGCAGGCCACAACCATTCAACCGGCAGCACCTCCAAGTCGAACCTTTCATCTCCAGGAGCAGCTCAGCCGGTTGCCAACGCGCATGGCCGCCGCCCTGGGTCGGATGTCGGCCAATCTCAATTGCTATCAGCCGGCGGCTCGGTTGGAACGCCACACCACTTGATAAATGAGAAGCCGAAGGAACAACAGAAACCAGAGAAACCAAAACTCAACCTGAGACAATCCCAGTGCATCGCAGCCACCATAAAAATAAGCTACAAACAAAAAGAAAAGAGCCCAAAAGAAAACCCGTAAATATCGCTCACTGGCCGGAAAATTCCCTACCAATTTCTCAGAGGTGGCCTTGACGGTCCTCTTGATTTTCCAGTGAGCGATTGCGCGAATAGCTAATTGTACTATAAACTAAGTATTATTACCTAAAACAACCCCCAAAACTCTCCCTACAATGATATAAGTATTGCAAGTAATTTTTGTAATTTTTCGTTGTATTTATTTTTTATCAATTACGGAATCTAAATTATTGTAAATATATCTATATATATATATATATATATATATTTAAAAGTTAGTTGTAAAAATCTCTCATTAGCCAAATTTCCAATTGTAATTTTTCACCTATTTATATCACGTATTTTAATTTATTTATTCGAAGTGATTTCGTTACCATGCGAGTGCTTTGTTTTTATATATCAGTTATACACGTGTAGATCATTTGTAAATATTACTACTATATATATACATATATATAAATATATTTAATTAAATCAAGTATAAAATCATGTATTCCTACCTAGGTGGTGCTGTTATTCGTAAACATTCAATAAGCAGTTGTTTCCCAAAATACCAATTACAAAATGTATTTTACATATCCAAAAATGTTGATGAGCATGAAATCAATATTTGCAAAACAAAACAAAAAATACAAATTACAAAAAAAACTACAAAAACAAACATAAAAATGAAAGCCAAACAAATAAAGTTGATCAAGATATTAGCAAAAGTTACTTGTGTTTTAATTTTGGAATTTTTACTTCACTATATTTGGATTACAGTCTTTAATGTTTTAAAGAGCAACTATAATAATCTATTATTTTCGAGCCAGATTTAATGAAATTATTGTTAGTTGCTTCAAGTGCTGAGAAGTACTTAGCATCCATTTTGTATAGCATACTTTTCGACATTAATTTGAAGTCCTTCAGGAAAGGTGTCAGATTTTTAAGATACAGTTTTGCCTAAGAAAATGCTAAATATTCGTATTTAATATACAATAACACAGTTATATTTTTGCAATACTCTCTTTATTTCATTAAAATTTAATAATCTCAATTTAAGTTTCAGGTTCTATATATATCCCTGAATCCCTGTGCTTCTCCTTACAACTTGGAATTGACATGGATAGCCAGGACACCATCATCCTCGGAATTGCCAATAGTAATAGAGGCTCGTCCATCGGAACCCACAGTCACCGTCTTGCCAGTGCAGGAGGAACCATTCTTGGTGCCGAGATGACATCGCAATAGGTTCCAGCAGGCAGACCCGTCTGCAGGGAGCTGTTCAGGTCGTAGTTGTCGTTGTTGAAGGCCACAAATCCACGGCTGCCGCGGCTGAAGGCAATCTGGTTGCTGCCGTTGTCCCACCAGTTCTGGATGCCATCGGATCCAACGGCGTTCCTGAAGGCCACCATGTTGTAGATCTGGCGCCAGCGGTGCTCGCACACCCATCCGCCGCTGCAGGAGTTGTCGCTGTTGAAGCTCGGCGAGGCGATGTTGTGCCATCGGTGGTGGGAGGACCCTGATCCGTGTCCGAGAACGAGAAGGAGGACATCACGCGGGGCGTTCCAAAGGGATGGGCCAGCATGAAGGCAGAGGCCATCTTGTATGCTTCGGACCTTGTAAGTGAGCACATCGGCGCCTCCAGCTCCATGTCCACGCTGGTTATCGTGATTATCGACGAAGACGAGGAGCGGTCGGAGGCAGCGAAGCCCCAGGCGGTGCCCCAGTTGGACAGTACCGCAACTGATCCTTGCCACGGAATGCCTTGCCGATGGAGTCGGAGTGACGGAACTCGGTGATGGCGCCCAGCCAGTGTACTCCGACTTGCTGATGGCCTCACCACCCATGTCGATCACCTCCTGCACGATGTAAGCCTTGGATCCCGAGGCAAAGCCGTGATCGGTGTTCAGGTTCTTGAGGCGGCCATAAATGACACCCAGATCTGCTGGCCACATGTGCTTGGCGGCGTCCACACGGAATCCAGCCACTCCCAGGTCAATGAGGTGATCCAGGAACTCGACAATCTTATCCTGCACGTAGGAGTTGCCCTGGTTGAGGTCTCGGAGACCCACCAGCTCGCAGTTGCGCACTTGGTTGGCATCGTTGTAGTTGTTGATGGCGCAGGTGGGGTTGAAGTCCAGCGAGGAGTACGGCACTCCGGGGTAGCTCTTGCTGCTGGGACTGGCAGTGCTGCCGCCTGTGCCATAGGTGCCTCCATCGGCGGCCATGTGGTTGAAGATCACGTCCACATAGATGCGCACACCACGGCGTTGCAGCGACGGGTCATGCTGGCGAACTGCTCCTCATTGCCAGAGCGGGTCACAAGCTTGTAGGAGATGGGCTGGTACCGCTCCCACCAGGGGCGGCTATCCTTCACGGCGTTCTCGTTGACGGGGGAGACCTGATGGGGGATTAGGATATAGAAGTGCCTTCGAGAGAGAGAGAGGTTACAGCTGATCCTCACCTGCACTCCGGCAAAGCCATTGGGACTCAGGAAGTTCTCGCACTCGGCGGCAATGTCGTCCCACTTCCACTCGAAGAGGTGCACCATGCCACTGCGTCCTGAGGCGTAGTTGGTGTCAAACTGGGCACTGGCCAGCGCCAGGAAGGCGAGGCACACGATGCTCTTGGCCAGAAACATGCTGATTCTTGGTGGAACTTAAGTTTCACTCTGATTCTTAGTGGGTCGCTGCAGCTGCTTATATAGGGGGTCTATGTCTCATAGGCTTCGCGGGAGTGATTTGGGGCTCTGCGGAATCTTATCGTGGCCCAAGGCGACTCCTAATCGATGCCCGTGCAGACGGACTGACTGGATAGTGCTGGAATTTTGGCGTAGATGATTAATTAGATTAGTGGCCTGATTAGCGCGTAATTATTGTTATTTGTGTATCAGGAATATGTACATCGGGACAGTGCATTCCTTTGATATTTGGGATTTATGGGCCACTCGAACACCCGCCACGCATGCTGTCTGAGGCGTGATCGTGTGAACTATGCTCCTCGGTGGTCAGACATTAAACTTAACTTAACTTTACTGGGGAATGCAGTTTTTTGGGTAATATTTTGTAATTCCTATAATTTTTGTTTGTAATTTGTAGGTGTTTTAATTTAATCAGATGCTTGTAACGCAGTGAAGAAATCAATTCCGACCCTATAAATCATATATATTCTTGATCAGCATCAATAGCCGAGTTGATTTAGATATCTGCGGCAGAAAAAAAATATTTCGAATTTTTTAATTTGTTGTTAAATATGATAAGGGGTACATCGTTAAAATGTTCAAAAATCGACAAGAATGTACATTATTAAAACTTTATATTTAGTATGCAGATTTATTAAGCTAATAAAAACTAAGATAAGAACGGTTTCTTAACTGAATTTAACGCTGTTTTGGCTTAGGTATGACTTTTTTAAATTTGATTTGTCAAAAAGATTGTCTTAATGAAAATGGTCAAAGAATGCCATTATACTTTTAGTCCGAAGCTTTAAATACAGTGATGGAGTGATTTCCGACCCCATAAATCCTGAGCAGGATCAACAGTGGAATCGTTTTAGCCATGTCCGGTTAAAAATAAATTTTCGAAATTTTCCATTTTTTAGAGGTTAAATTAAAAAAAAAAAAAATAAACAAAAATTAAATGTTTTGTTAATTTTAAATTGTGTATGCAGTTTTATAATCCAATAAAATAACATAGGAAGCTTCCGATTTAAATTTAATGAATTTTTGGCTTAGTTTTGAGTTTTTTAACTTTGATTTGTAAGTGCATTCTGAGAACATCCTATGTTTTATTTATATTTAAAGACAATTTGTCGGTGAAATTTGTTAGTAAAAATAGTACACTATAGAAACCATTAAAACAAAAGCAACTTTTTTAAACATCCCTTTAAATTAAACTAGAAAGGTCAAAAAAGCCTTTAAACTGATAACAGAAACTCAAAACAAAACGCTTTTATGCAAACATGTATATTACGTTTTTGTTTATTTACGTTTCGTAAGACCATACTTCCGGTCACTTACGTAGTTAAGTGTGACCAACATCATCAGGCAAAATTAACCCCCTTTGTTTATGTACATACAGTGTTTTTTCTCGGAAAACAAGGCGAGCACACTGAATTTGCAAAAAAAAAATTAAAACGCTAAACATATAGATTATATTGGTTTTCTGGCTGAAGCAGCCGTATTTCCGCTCGATTCCGTTCCCGGTCCGTTTCGATTTGGGCGCCGAGAACGCGGCTGAATGATAGCTCTGAGTGCGCTTTTAACCAAATACACAATCGGTATTATGAGCAACTTAAGCAATGGCAACCAGCAACCGCTACAGCAGCAGCAGCAGCAGCAGGCGCAGCAGCAACAACAACAACAGCAGGCACAGAACCCGCAACAGCAGCAGGGAAACGAAGCGGGCGGAGAGCTGTTTGTGGCTCCGCCGCCCGGATTAGGTGTCGCTGTGGGCGTGGCAGCCATACAACAACGCAATCGGTTGCTGCAGCAACAGCAGCACCAGCAGCAGCCACAGAATCCCGCCGCCGAGGGCAGTGGCCTGGACCGTGGCAGTTGCCTTTTGCGCTATGCCAGCCAAAATTCGCTGGACGAGAGCAGCCAGAAGCATGTCCAGCGGCCGAATGGCAAGGAGCGGGGCACCGTGGGACAGTACAGCAATGAGCAGCATACGGCGCGATCCTTTGATGCCATGAACGAGATGCGCAAGTAAGGATAACAAGGTTTTGGGTTGACTTGATCCTAAAAGTACTTAAAAATTACCCAAAAATATGTGAAATCTTAGAGAACCTGCTGAAAATGGGTTATATTTTGATATTGCAGGTGCATTTGGGTTTTATTTAAAGCTAATTTGAGGCTCTCTAACCATTAATTCAGTTTTTTTTTGTCATATATCCTGTGATATATAGAATTATTAACCTGTTTTTCTTTCTATACCGCTACAAAGTATTCAAATATTCTTCACAAAAATATTCAAACGTCAGTTAATGATGTTATGTTCACTATTTCAAAGTACATTTAACCTTTTCAGTTTAGGTTACCTGAGTTCGTTTTTCTAAAATAAAGCCAAGGATTTACAGGTTTTTTGTGTTAAGTTCTCTGTATTGAACAAGTTGAACAACATTATTACCAAACAATTGTCGATAAAACGTTCAAATACTACGCAATTTCCGCAATATTTGTTTAAAGAATTAGCGGTTGTTCAACTTATATACCTGTATATGGTTAAGTAATGAGATAATTGCTCTTAAGACCTGATTTTATTTTAAAATTATTGACTAGTTTTTGGGGTTTTGTTTCAAAAATAAAGGATATATTTAAATGGGGTAAAGATTAGGGGAGTTTATGGCTAAAAGATTCACTTGGGATTCACTTTCTGCGCTTTTAGGATATACTTAAAGAATATTTATATTTAAAACAGATTTGTCTTGATAAAAGGTGTAACAATAATTTAGCTCCAGTTAGATAGCGCAAATAAATATATACAGATGTTGAGTTATGAACCATAAAGTAACACCTTTTAAATTATACTGTAAAGATATATCTGTAGAAATAAATTTTTCCTTAAAATATTCAATACCTTTGACAAATTTTAACCCTATTAGTCTTGGATAAGTGGATATAATTGCTAAACTTCTTTTAAATATTCCGACTTTAACCTACCTCAGATATTTAGGTTCGTATAAATTCCTTTAAATTCATTCTATTTTTGGCAATCTCTCCCTTTTTTGTTTCGCCTTTCAACAAAGGAAACATATATTTAATTGCTGTGTGCTCAGTGCAGGAAAGGGACAGGTGCGTTGTCGTCTGATTTGGGCCAAGATGCGAAAAAATAATCACTGAATAAATGTCGGACGATCGTCATCATCATGATCTCGCGCATATTTGCGCAGTTTGCTTTTGTTTGGGTTTCCAAGCATCGCTAATATTTGTGTTTCTCTCTGTTTGCACACGATATTTGCGGACTTCGTCGACGCTTTTGTCGTGGGTCGGCCATTCGCATTAATTATTGTCTAGTTTTTATTATGATGAGTTTCAATACGCCTTCGGGTTTCGCATTAGGCCACGACCTTGAACTTGGTCTGCTGCGGTCCAAAAATATATTCATATATGTATTCCGAATTCGAATCTGATTTCGAATTCCGCTTCCGCGTCTTTCGCTTTTTTCGGGTTTTCGGTTATCTGGAAAACTACTGGCGGCATGGAAATTTTATAGACAGCTTGGAATAAAAACAAGTTTTTAACTCAACGAAAGTGAAGGTGGTGTGTAACACCAAAAAAGAAACTGGATTGTTATTGTTTATTTATTGCTTTTGGGCTGTTGAATTCATAACAAAAAGAGTACCTGGGAATCTGTCATAAGGTGGAGGGAATTTATTTATAACTGTCTCTAATAATACTAATAAAACATTGCAGTTTATGTGTGAGAAACAAGGAATTATTTTCATAAATAATCAAGAGACTATAAAGATTGTGGTTTCTAAGATTTTTCTACAATTAAATACGAGGTTATTTACCTCAAAATTCCAAACAAAAACAATATTGTGTGTTTTTGTTTTTCCAAAAAAGCTATTAGTATAAATTTCGAACAAATTCTTTGTTTAAATACAACATTTACAAGCAAATTTTCAAGGTTTCTTTTGCAAGCTTTTAATTTGTTTAATGGAGGTGCTATTAAAGAAATCGATTATAAGAATGGGATTCCTATGGAAATGGTGTTTTTCAAGGAAATAAATAGTGAAGAATTGCAATGCGGAATTATTTTAAGATTTCACTACTAAAAGCAAAAACAAACCATAAACTATGTTTAAGTTCAAATTAAAAAGCAAAAAAAAACCATTAACTACGTTTAAGTTCAATTTAATATATTTATACTATTAAAATGATTTTAATTACAGACAAAAACAGCTCTGTGATGTGATATTAGTGGCCGACGATGTGGAAATCCATGCCCATCGCATGGTACTGGCCTCCTGCAGTCCGTACTTCTATGCAATGTTCACCGGCTTCGAGGAGTCGCGTCAGACGAGGATCACCCTGCAAAGCGTCGATGCTCGGGCACTGGAATTACTCATCGATTATGTGTACACAGCCACCGTGGAGGTGAACGAGGATAATGTTCAGGTCCTGCTGACCGCCGCTAATCTCCTACAGCTTAACGATGTTCGTGATGCCTGCTGCGATTTCCTGCAGACGCAGCTGGATGCCAGTAATTGCCTTGGCATCCGGGAATTTGCCGATCTTCATGCCTGCGTGGAATTATTGAATTACGCGGAAACCTACATTGAACAGCATTTCAAGTGAGTTGTGACGCATGACAGATTGTTTTTATTTTGATTTTGTTAGGTAATATATATAATTTAATCTCTTTTACCTATATCATATATAACTTTCGTAATAACCCCAGTCATTCCCTTAGAACTTTTAAGAGATAATGTCATTCTTCGTTGAGTAAATCAACACTGTATAATCAAAATCAACTCAGATCAGCAAAGGTTAAATTTAAAAAGAAAGGAAAGGTAATTTTAAGAAGCCGAAGTGATTATACTCTTGCAGTTACCCATAGAATAGGTTCCTAATTTTAAATAATTCATAACTAAGCCAAAAATTCATTAATTTCAATTCTGAAAGCTGTTCTGTGTTAGTTTTTATGCGGTTAAAAAATCTGCTTACTAAGTTAAAAAATTTTTTAAACCGGAAATAGCTAAATTGATTTGGCTGTCGATGCTGATAATATATATGAATTATAGGGTCGGAAACGGCTCCTTCAAAGCGTTTTAAGCTTCTGACTGAAAATATAATACTCAGCAAGGGTATAAAAACATATCAGTTACCTAATAATATTTTGTATATATTATTATGGGAATATATTAAATGCTAAAGTGTCATTCATAAGATTACGACTTGAGTATAATAGGTAAATGTTGCAAACTTGATTCGGAGTATTTTTTAATACACAAGCTCTGAAATTATATGATAAATTTGTGTTTATAATGCGTAATTTAATTTTTAAAATTTCTTTTTAAAATAAAACAATTTTTAGACATACTTCTGGGTTGACAATCACGTTTTGCTGTTTACAAGTATTTATTTTATCAAAGACCAGATATATCACGTTTTGCTGGTTTTTTAAATGCTTTAATATATACATTTCTTTATAAAGTTATTAAGTCCACTAATTTCCATTTTAAACATATTAAGTTAAATAAATCATTTTCAATCGTAAACAATCGCTTTACTTAAAGCAAATTCTCAGTTAAATATATAAACAAATCCGGTTTGCCTTCTTTTAATTTAATTTTACTTAATTTAATTACTTATCACTCTCTGTCTTTTTATTGGTTTCCCTTTCAGCGAGGTGATCCAGTTCGATGAGTTTCTGAATCTCTCACACGAGCAGGTCATCAGCTTGATAGGCAATGACCGGATCTCGGTCCCGAATGAGGAGCGCGTGTACGAGTGTGTCATTGCCTGGCTCCGCTACGATGTCCCCATGCGAGAGCAGTTCACATCTTCGCTAATGGAGCATGTCAGGCTGCCCTTCCTGTCCAAGGAATACATCACACAGCGCGTCGACAAGGAGCTACTCCTCGAGGGCAACATCGTATGCAAGAATTTGATAATCGAGGCTTTGACCTATCATCTGCTGCCCACGGAAACGAAATCCGCAAGAACTGTGCCACGGAAACCGGTGGGAATGCCAAAATCTTGCTCGTCATTGGAGGACAAGCGCCCAAAGCTATTCGCTCCGTGGAATGGTATGATCTGAGGGAGGAGAAATGGTATCAGGCCGCCGAAATGCCGAACAGGCGGTGTCGTTCTGGACTGAGTGTTCTCGGAGAGAAAGTCTATGCCGTTGGTGGATTCAATGGTTCGCTCCGCGTTCGCACTGTGGATGTGTATGATCCAACAACGGATCAATGGGCCAACTGCTGCAACATGGAGGCACGCCGATCCACACTGGGCGTAGCTGTCCTAAATGGTTGCATATACGCCGTGGGAGGGTTCGATGGCACCACCGGTCTTTCCAGTGCCGAGATGTATGATCCCAAGATTGACATTTGGCGGTTTATTGCCTCCATGTCCACGCGTCGCAGCTCAGTTGGAGTTGGAGTTGTGCATGGTCTCCTGTATGCCGTTGGCGGCTACGATGGCTTCTCCCGTCAATGCCTATCGTCGGTGGAACGCTACAATCCCGATACGGACACCTGGGTAGCGGTGGCAGAGATGAGTTCACGGCGAAGTGGCGCTGGTGTCGGTGTCCTAAATAACATCCTGTATGCCGTGGGCGGACATGACGGGCCTATGGTGAGGAAATCTGTGGAGGCATACGACTGTGAAACGAACTCGTGGCGTTCTGTAGCGGATATGTCTTACTGCCGGCGAAATGCCGGGGTTGTGGCTCACGAAGGTTTGCTCTATGTGGTCGGAGGCGATGATGGCACCACAAATCTTGCCTCGGTTGAGGTCTATTGTCCCGATTCTGATAGCTGGAGAATGTTGCCTGCCCTGATGACCATTGGACGCAGTTACGCGGGCGTGTGTATGATCGATAAGCCCATGTGAATGGAAGAGCAGGGTGCATTGGCACGGTGAGTGAGGTTTTTACCATTAAAATTTACAATTAAAATTAATTATTTCACTTCATTTCTTGTTAGTCAAGCGGCTTCGCTGGCCATCGCACTGCTGGATGATGAGAATAGCCAGGCTGAGGGCACAATGGAGGGTGCCATTGGTGGTGCTGCCATCTATGGTAATTTGGCACCAGTTGGAGCAGCTGCACCGGCTGCAGCTCCTGCTCCTGCGCCAGCTGCTGCCGCTTCAGTTGCTCCACAGCCAAATCATCCGCATTACGAGAACATCTATGCACCAATTGGCCAGCCCAGCAATCAAGCGGCTGCTGCTGCTGCTGCAGCTGGCGTCGCCAATGCCAATGCCCCTGCAAATGCCGAGGAAGCTCAGCAACCACAACAACAACAGCCAGCACCAACGGAAGCCAATGCCAGTAACAATAACAACCAGTCACCGCCAATAGCACAACCACAACAAGCACAGCCGCAACCACAACGTATACTGCCCATTAACAACTATAGAAATGATTTGTATGATCGATCTGCGGGAGGAATCCTTGGATCAAACGCTTCTGCCGCCGCCGCCGCTGCCTATGATGTTCCAAGAGCCGTGAGATCTGGCCTTGGTTATAGGCGTAACTTTCGCATCGATATGCAGAATGGTGAGAATTGGACTCCATATAACTAATATGATACTAATATTAATACGGGTTGAGCGGAAGTTCAGCTTTTGATTAGATCACTTGGACGTAACTTGACTGACTTCCTTCCACTTTTAATTAAGTAATAATTGCCATTGATTTGCACTTTGTTTGCTTTAATTTTATTAGCAAATTGTTCTGGGATTGTTTTGAGACATGAAGATAATAGCAAGAATTTAGTTATAACATTTTGTTAGGATTGAAAATACTTAATTTTTGTTGGAGTTAATTACTTTTCTGATAATTTTTGCTTTAGTATTTATACCTGACAATTTTTTGACAAATCAAAGTTTAAAAAAGTCATAACTTAGGCTAAAATGCATTAATTTCAATTCAGAAAGCTGTTCTGTGCGAGTTTTTGTTAGGGAAATAAATCTGCATACTAATTTATAAATTAGAAAAATTCAAATTTTTTTTTCGATTTTGAAAATGTTAACCCTTACTATTTGTTAAAAAAAAGGAAAAAATTTCAAAAATTTTATTTTCATCGGGACATGGCTAGATCGATTCCTCTTTTGCTGCTGATCCAGAATATATATGATTTATAGGGTCGGAAATGAGTACTTCACCTATTTTCGAGCTTCTGACTAAAATGAAAGCATATAAAATCTAGCTCCTAATCCTTTCCCCGTTTCTCTTCCAGGGAATCGCTATGGCAATGGCCTTCGTTGCACTCCCCTTTACACCAATAGCCGCTCCAATTGCCAGCGACAGCGTAGCTTCGACGACACTGAGTCCACCGATGGCTACAATCTCCCCTATGGCGGAGCTGGAACCATGCGCTACGAGAATATTTACGAGCAGATACGAGATGAGCCGCTCTATCGCACCTCTGCTGCCGCCAATCGAGTGCCGCTCTATACACGGCTCGATGTACTGGGTCATGGGATTGGCAGGATTGAGAGACACTTGAGCTCGTCGTGTGGCAACATCGATCACTATAATCTGGGTGGACACTACGCTGTGCTCGGACACTCGCATTTCGGTACAGTGGGTCACATTCGTTTGAATGCCAATGGAACGGGTGGCGGTGGAGGAGGAGTAGCAGGGGCAGCCACTGTAACCAATGGAAGTACCACCTGTAATGTGCCAAATTGCCAAGCGTACATGGGAAATGGCAGCTCATCGGTGCCCGTGGAGTATGCCAATGTCAAAGTTCCAGTAAAGAACAGTGCCTCCAGCTTCTTTAGCTGCCTGCATGGCGAGAATTCTCAGAGTATGACGAATATATACAAAACATCGGGTGCCACAGCAGCTGCCCATCATTCCCCCTAACGCCCAATGTGTCCATGGAGCGAGCAGCTCGTTCTTCATCCGCTGGAGCTGCAGGAGTAGCTTCTATCTCAGTTGAGGAGCCACCTTCAGTGGATAATCAGCCAAGTTCATCGAATAGCACCACAAGTCGACCGCAAACGGGAGCCATACCCAAAGTAAAGATTGCCACCAGCAAGACAGCCAAGGAAGCAGCAACAGGAGGATCATCATCTGGCACAGCTGTCACCTCCTCAACTACAACCGACAAGAGTTCATCGACGGCTGGAGCAGGAGCAGGCAAAGCAGGAACTTTGGCCAAGAAAAGCTCAACGGGATCAGGAGCTGCATCACGTTCCACTAGTTCTGCCGGTGATGGCACCTTGAATCGCATCTCCAAATCAAGTCTTCAATGGCTGCTGGTCAACAAGTGGCTTCCTTTGTGGATTGGCCAGGGACCGGATTGCAAGGTAATCGACTTTAACTTTATGTTTTCCCGCGACTGTGTCAGCTGTGACACCGCCTCGGTAGCCTCGCAGATGTCAAATCCATATGGAACTCCTCGCTTGGGTGTCGGCCTGCCCCAGGATATGGTGCGCTTCCAAAGCTCCTGCGCCGGTGGAGCTTGTACGGCAGCCGGAGCTGCTGCATCCACCGTGCGAAGGGATGCCACAGGTCGACCCCTACACAGCACCTTGAGTCGCCTGCGGATGAATGGAGGGGAGAGGAGGAATCAGAATGCAGTGGCTGCTGCCAACTATCGTTACGAAGATCCCTCGTACGAGAATGTCCATGTTCAGTGGCAGAATGGCTTCGAGTTTGGCAGATCCCGTGACTACGATCCGAATTCCATTTATCATCAGCAACAGCAACAGCAGCAACGTCCCATGCTCCAGAGAGCCAGATCGGAGAGTCCTACGTTCAGTAACCAGCAGAGGCGTCTCCAGCGTCAGGCAGCACAGGCTGCCCAAGCTGCTCAATTGAAGCCTCCACCACCAGGATCACCAGATCCCTTCAAGAACTACAAACTGAATGCGGAGAACAACAGCTTCAAGCCCAAGTCAGCAGCATCTGCTGAAGAGCTGGAAGGAGCTGTAGGAGGAGCTGTGGTGGAAATGCCTCCTCTGGAGTTGGATGCCGAGTCTGTAGATCCTGTCAACTTGAGTGATAATGAAGCGGAGGCCATTGGTGGCCAAAGTAATACTTCAAACAGCACAAACAGTCATGTGAATGAGCAAAATGATTAAAAAATTGGGAGCAAACACACCTTAGAAGCTTCTTGCAGAGAGCAGCGTTTAGTTAATAAATTTTAGGCAGTAGTGGTTTTTTTTTAAGTTATAAAAATACTGTTAACCGTGAGGCATTCTGGTTTTTAAATCAAAAAGGTTCTAAAATTGAGAAATAATGTTTTGTACATTTTGCAAGGTTAGAATTTATATACCTTCTGCAAAAGATTTAAAAACCACGACGATTTCTGTACAATGCCTATTAAAATTTAATTGAACGCTGCTCTCTCTTCAAAATTGGATCTCAGATAAGAATATATACAAATCGACCAAAACAGGAAAAAAAGCGAGCAGAAAATTGAGTAAATTTACATTTTAAACCCACTCTATTTGATATTACTATAAACCCAAGAGAAAACGGAAATGGGGGCTAAAGATCGAATATTAATTATATATGTTGCATACACTGTAGTTGTAGTTCGAACAAGAATTTTTGTGTCATGTTCATGTCGAAGTTATACCGAGTTACACCTAAGAGCCATATCATATCACACACTATCACACTCTCTCTCCGTAACCATAAGCAATAAGCATTTGATACAATATACGATATATAGTTCCATTTCCTGTGTTCCACACTGCCTTTCCATTATTGTTTAGGATTATTCTGCATATACTATATACTATATATATATATTTGGCATTTGTTCGCTTACATTTTTGTGTGTTAAGTTAAGCCAAGGCTTTAAATCGAAGAAAACAATAATGTTTAACAAACTCGGCATTAGAAATCGTTATCGTTTAAGTCAATTAGTGTTACAGGTATTATTTACATAAGCATATGGCAAAGGCAATATAAGAATATAATGCATTTTGAGCAGATATACTTCATTCTTAATAAGAGAAAGATGCATAACGCGCGTAAATTATATGAAAAATATGCTTTACACGTAAGCATTAAATGTGTAATACATTACAAGCATAATATTTTTGTATTGCCTTTACATATGCATACAATACTCCAATTATATAAAACATACTTACATGTGTATTGAGTTTAACTAATTCATAATAAAATAGTTCAACGAAACATTATAGTTCTAGGTGTGTTTTTTTTTGTGGAAGGTTTTTGTTTTTATTTTAACAAACTATTATAAAATTGGATGCTCCGTTCTCATTGCTTTTGTTGTTCATATACACAGATACACATTAAATATCATATATCAATATCAATATAATTAAATTAAAAAATACAATATCTGTTCGTAATAGTACGAGTATTTATAGATATATCTTGCCCGCTCCTTGCTCCTTGCTCCTTCCTCCTCGATCCGAATTAATTTCCACCGATGTGTAGCCGATATGTTTTCGCTATATAGACTTAAAAAAAGCATAAACACGGTTGATGATGAGCGCTAATTGAATTTGCAAATAGTATACGTATATGATTTATATTTTCATTTTCTTTTATTTTTTGTTTTGAAATTTTTCATCCTGCCTCTAAGTCGAATATTATGGAATTACTCGCGTTAAATATTTTGTAGTAAATTTTTTGTAGTGTCTACAAGCTTTTCTTTGTTTTTGTCTAAATCGCTGATAAGTTCTTTTAGGATTAGGTTTCATATATATATATTTATATATATATATATTTCTTGCTCATTTTTCGGTTGTTTCGGTTGAATCTGATGATTTTATTTAGTATACTCATTCGTACTTCGTTTCACCTCGCCTCGTTCAATGCTAAACTTAAAATATACACGAAGAACTAAGAACTAAACTAGAGAAATGCTTTAAAAAATTAGCCCAGAACTATACAAAAAGAACGCTTTAAGCGTTTCCCTTTCTCGATGTCTTTCATTTATGTTTTTAAACCCAGATCAATTTGCAAAAAAATTATACACACATCAGCTGTTTACTAACCTGCGAATATAACACATCTTCATTGGAAAACTTGGACTTTTTTTAAAGGAAAATATTAATTTAAAGTTCTGATTAATTTAGTTCTTTCAATTTAACTAAAATATTTTCTTAAAATTCCCAAATCAAGTCTCTCCCATGTTATTTTCGCCTTCTACAGCTCGATATATATCCTGACATTGAGCCACCACCTTTCAAGTTCAAGATCTAGTTTATTGCTCTCTACTTGGGCAACTCGTAGATCTGGACGGGCAGCGCCTTGGGCGTGATGATCTCATCCTCAAAGTCCTCGTCATCGCCATGGATGGCATAGTCGCCGCCATTGTGCTCACTCTCAAACTCATTCGGTACAATCTCCACGTCACTGGGACGGGAGGTGCTCCTTGATCCTCCGCCAGAGTCACTACCATGTCGATTGGATCTCGTCTTGGTCGATTTGCTGACAAAATCACGCAGCATATGGGAGTACAGTATGTCATCCAGATAATACATGGTGCCCAGGTTATAGACAAACACCTCGCTCTCGGTAATCTGGGCGTTATTAACACTGGTATAGTTGCTGCCCGGATTCCGGGTGATCTTTATGTGGCCACCACCAATGGTCTCAAAGACCTCATTATCCCGCAAATCGCGATTATAGAGGCGTCCCTTAACAAAGTGATTGAGTAGCATTTTAACGCCACGCTGAGAGCCCTGTTTAATAAAGATTTATGAGTATTAATATTATATAAAATATATTATAAATTAAAATTTATGTACTTACCATAACTTCATCAGATAATTTATCGAAACCCAGCTTCTCAAAGGCCCGATCTTCCGGCACAAAGAACGTGTAGTTGGCTCCCGAAATGTGGGGAGCAATCTCAGCATTGTTTAGATATCTTTTGGTAAAAGGTTTAACTGATTAATTTAGATATTATAGTTTAACAAGTTTTTTAGATTTACCTAGTTATCTGGGAAAATCTGGGATCTCTTTCCAGGGCCAAAAATGAATGGGACAGAAATTGTGCACCAAACCAGGGAAAGGCCAGCAAAGGAGGTGTCTCCTTGTCCTTGTGCATCTGCCAATAAGAGAATAAAGAATGTTTTAAATATTCGTATTAAATACATTTATTAATTTATTGAATTTTTAAAAATCTTATAATTAAATGCAAATTATTTTTCAGTATATAATACACGTATTAACTTAAGTTGGTTTAAGAGATCTATTTGCTTTCAATATCCAATAACTTTTTCAAATTTAAAATATAATATTCAAGATCACTCCTTATTCCAGATATTCCTTCCATATTATCCCCAAGTTTTCTCTACTATTCTTGGATTATATTCCCAAAAAAGACTTACCTGATGCAATTTGGAGACCACAGCCTCGGTAACGAAGAGCACCTCCGAGATAATGAACACCTGATTGCCATTGGAGAGGTTGTAGTCGGACATAATGCTCACATTATTCACCGTGGGCGTGGCTATCGAGTGAGAGAGCAAAGAAAACATTCTCATAAATTGAATATTTTTTTATTTTTTTGGGGGCATCCGTAATTTATGGGAATGAAGCCACTTACGTTGGCCATGGAAGACGACATCCTCACCGCCCATGGTGTGGACAACGAGCTCGTCCACATTCCGGACATCGGAGAGCCGCAGGGGTCGCTGCATGGGCAGAAAGTGATTGCGGAGCACCGACTCGGTGAACTCCGGGACAGAGAATGGATAGAAGCCCCAGTCGATGGGATGCCAGCGTTGGAAGGCGTTGTCCGAGGGTATCAGCACCGTGTAGGCATTGTCGTCCATGATGCGGGTGAGGTTACTCTTGGAGAGAAAGTGCTGGAATACCTTGGTTCCCGTCTTCATGTTGGCCAGGAAAGACATCAGTGGACTGGCCTTCGACTCTTTGATAATGGGTTCCACCTTGGCGTGTGCATTCGTTATGTTCGGCTGCTCCAGAGGCTGAGGGTCATTGTTGCGGCTGGAATATGCACAGAGAGAAATTATTTTTAATTTAGAGATCATCAGGAATATTTGGGGAGATTTGAGATAATAAGATTTCTTATAGAATTTAGCAGTACAATTTTTCGGAGAACGTTTTGAAATTCTTTAAAAATGTGTCTTAAAAGTATGTGCGAAAATGTGAATTGTAAATAATTGTAGGATTTTTTAGAAAAACTTTTAAAAGGATTTTAAAATCCCTGTAAAATTGATACCAATAAAAAACTGTTATTTTAAATGATCTGTCTGAAATGAGAAATATTTCGATTGGTGTATTAATACGACTTATTATAACCCAATTTTCTCAGATGAAAAAAATAGGGGAAACTATTGAAATTTTCGTTTATGTGATATAAATATGCAGATGATGATGATGATGTGGAAAAGCTCTAGAAGTGGTGGAAAGATGGCTCTGCTTCCATAGATTGAGATTGAGGTTCGTTCGATGGCCTCGGTCAAAAGTGCGGAACTGGAAAATCCTAAAGTGTGTGCGGATGTGTGTGTATTTTGTGCAAAAAGTTTGACCAGCAAAAACTTTGTTTGCCGCCTGATAAATTTCGCATGAGTGCACTTTTGACCGCAAACAAACTAGGACTAGGAACTTGGGCAAAAATTCTTAGCAGTGGGAAATTAAGATAGAAATAATACTACAGCATGATAAATAATAAGATAGTATTATTAAAAAGAGGGAAAATGTATATAAAGCATTGAAAACATTACGAGGTAAAATATTTGTCTACGAAAATAAATAAAACACTGAAACACTTTGATTAAATTAATCGTATCTTATAGTAAGCTAATAATATTAAATAAAATTAGCAAAGAGTTCATGAGTAATGCAATAAACTAGTTTTAAATTTTCCAACCATACTTTTAGACTCTATATAATTTGGTATTTTAAATCCATATTGTGGTAGTCTTAAAATTATAATTATTTATATTTAAAACAGTCCACAATATGGGCTTGAAATAAATATAACTATAGCTTGAAAATATGGTACCACTCCTTAGTATATTTCTTTAAACAGATAAACCCTTTATTAAAATCTAAAAAAATGTCATTAAATCAGAATTTATTTAATTTGCAATAGTAAAACGTATTCAATCCCACTGTGCGAGAAATGTACCATGGGGTGGGTCTTATTCAATAGTACTCACTTGTTCGTTTCCTGTATGTTGCGCTTGGAGTAGGGCGACTTCCTATCACCCAAATAACCATCAATTGCAATGGCCATCAGGTTCTCATTGATACGCAGCTTGTGGAGTATCTGCTGACCATTGAGTAGCCAAACATTGTTGTGGGATTTTTCCAATTTACGGAAAACGATTTTGTGTCCGTTCCCATTGCCAAAGGACTCCTCCGGCTCCTCGGATTTGCCGCTGACCGTACTATAGCTGTCGAAGATCTTTCCGGGCACCAAGTGTTCCAACATGAACTCCTTTAGCCGCGGCTTCTCAATGCTCCGCACATCGATTTTGGGCACAATCAATGTGTAGGGAATGTCTACCGGAATTTCCACCGGAAACGCGGTCCACATGCCAAGAAATAGGAGAGAGAGAGAAGGATGGGGCAGAGTTACTTTGGGGAATTGCTCACTTAAAAATGTAAACTGTTTTCGTTTCATTTACGGCCAAGTGTGGCTCTCAGCTCACCTGGCTCCCCACCGCGATGCCCCCACCTGTCTGCATGTTAATCAAGTAATTAACTTTCGGGGTAGGGTACACACTCATACACACACACTCACAGAGAAGGTGTGTAGTCTGGGGAATTTGGTGGCTTCAATTAGATTATATTATTATTATGCCACACGCATCTCCTGGGAGGTGTGTCAGCTGCTATTTTCAATTGTATTAAGTGAATTTATGCCTGGTTTTTGTAATTTCTCAAAATGTCACGAACTAATATGGAATTTTATTTGTTTTTAACTGGTTTTAAAACCATTGAATATTTATTTGTCTGCTGAGTAAGCAAATTTCCATCTCTGAACCGTTTTTGCTTCGTTATTCTGTCAATTAATTTATCATATTCTTTGTTTTGTCAACTTGCATGCAAAATGGATAGTTATCTTTTCGCTTTTCTGATTGCTTTCTCAGTTTTGATAGAGTAAAAATAGTTGCATTAGTTTTTTCGTATAATATGGAATAGGTATTATCATTTTAGTCAGAAGCTTGTTAAGGAGTAATTTCCGAACCTATAAATAATATTTATTCTTGATCAGCATAAACAGCTGCATCGATCTAACTAACTGGATTAGTTATGAGTTATTTAAACTTTAATTTGTCGACCAAATTCTCATATAAAAATATCGATAAATATTGATTCAAATATTTTAACCTTTCTTATGATCGTTTTTCAATACGATCCTATATTTTAATTGCAAACTGCAAGGGTATATAAACTTAAGCTTTCCGAACTTAGTTTCCTTTCTTATAACTATTATTTTTGTAACTATATAACCCACTTTGTTGTGACATTTTCCTAGCCATTTTCCTTCACTTCTTTTTCCCCCCTTCTAATGGCCAAATTGAGTATTTTTTGTTTATGATCAACATTTGGACAGCTGAACGAAGTCATTTATCAATGTCACACATTTCCATTTTTCCCCATTTTCGGAGTTTTCCCAGAGCTGCTGTCTGAAGCTGCTTTATTTTTCTTTTTTCTTTGGGAAATCGTGGAGTCATGTCCTGTCTAACTGGCGTTTTGCAGCTGCTGCAAGTGCTGACAACGCTCTCGGGTTGCAACATCTACAGATATTCGGAGGCAAAGAGGGAATTCCGTGTGAATAGAAGAACTCATCTACTGGTCCGGGCCTTGCACAGATTCTGGCTTCGACCCTGGCTGATGGTGACTTTAGTGATGCACTTTATCTACTGGGTAATGGAGTTTCTTAAAGGACTCACAGATACCACACCGGGCAGCGAAAGGCCTCTGAATCTTATCTATGGAATTGGATTGACAATTGTCATACATCAGAACATTGTCATTAGTTTAGGAGTTGCGTATTACTACAGGTGGAGTTTGAATTAAATAACTTGGTCAACAGAATTATATTTAATATTTTTATAAAATATTACAGGTATCATCGTCCTCAAATAAGGCAGCTTCTCAATGGCTTTGTAAGGATCTATCACGGCTATGAGAGAATCTGTGGAAGGGAACCCATCATCAATTGGTGGTTCTTCTTCATTCAAATCTTTCGAGTTTTTTCCGCCTCGGTTTCTCCAATGATAAAGTCCTCATTCCGATTTGTGGGTTTTGGTTCGAAAGTTGAAATTTTTGTAAGAGATTCAGGTGTGCTCTTCATATGCCTTCAGCCTTTTCTACTATCTGTGGTGGGTCACTTGGCCATATTGATCCTTTACGCCTGCTATAATATTCAAGTGCAAAGTGGTAAAAGGAGAAGATCCTTACAGCTTCTGGACTACTATCGACACTTGATTACACTTAGACAAAATCTGGATTTTCTGGTAAGACCGATTGTCTGGACATTGATGTTGGAGAACATTCTACTATTCATAGGCGGCTTCCATTTGTCCCTTTACGATATGCAATCTGTTGGGCATATGGGAAAATCTATGCTTGTGAGTTCTATATTTCCCTTAACTCTTTTGCATGTTAATGCAAACATAAGATTCATGGAAAGAGAGTTTGGAAAACTTAAAGCTGACGGCAAAGAGCAGCCTCAGGTGAGGCAGATTTTTAATCTTTAAAAACTATTAATATTATTAATTTCCATTTCTCCAGCTACAAATGTTTTGGCTATACCAGAAGGTAATGCAAGGAACTCACGATAAAAGTGAACTGAATGTTTTTAATCTGGATCGTGAATTTATTTTGGAATCATTAAGACTTGCTTGGGTTTATGCAATGTTTACAAATAGCATTTTGCTGAATAGTACTGCCAGGTTTAAGCATTTTGAGAGTGTCCAGTTTAAGAAGCTTTTGTAGAAGTTATATTTTGTAATTTTATGTTTTGTATACAAATTAGATGCCTTCTTTAAAGCATTAAGTTGTTAACTAGAAAATAACTAAACTTCTGTGTTTTTTTAATACTTTTTATACTCAAAAAAATAAATAAGGATTAATAATCATCATAGAACGAGTTAAGTAATCACAATTGAAAAAGTAAATGGTTTATAAGCCAAAGTTATAGCTTATACTAAGCTTATTGCATTAAGCTTTAAATATAACAATTTTTTAAATATATATTTGCAGATTTGTTTTGGGAAAACATAAATAGTGTCTGCTTTGTAATTTCATACATTTTTGTAATACTTTTTCTAAGAAGTAGGTAAATAAATATACATTGTTAAAAATAATTAAGGATTCTTAAGGCCTGCTTCTTATATTATTCCAAGGCTATGCCTTTAACATTTTAAATTTTTCCTGCAATAATCATTTCCCTATAAATTAATTTTTATACAAATTCCTTCCTATACAAATTTTATAATTTCTCCCTTTAGTCTTTAAGGATTTCCCTCTCAACTTCTTGAGTGATTTTCCAATTCCCATTGACAGTGCTCACCTGATTTTGGCTTGTAATCGTAGAGTTCGAGGACGGGAAAACCATCATCGATGAAGCGAAAGACCTGCTGCCACTTTTCATCCTCCTGAGTGCGCTGCAGGTTGGCCAGGTCGGGCAGCACTTTGGCCTCAATCAGCCGGGCGTTCTTCAGACTCGGATCGATTCCGGTTGTCATCGCTCCCGTTCCCGTTCCCGTTCCTGTGCCCGATGTAGTGACAGCTAGTGATGCTGCATCTGTTCCCAGTGCATCCGCGGCGGCAGCAACATCGGCAATCTGCAGCAGCGACAGCAACACGAACGCTGCCACCGGCACTTGCAACATTTTGCGCGACATTCGAGTTACGAGTTTTCGGGGGTTTCCGTTATTCCCTCTCTCACCCACTCACTTGTGCTTGTTCGTTAGCAGATTGTAAATTATTTTTAATTGCTAGCACTTGGCCAAGAGTTTTCGTTTGTTTACTGCTTTTCTTATTCTTCGAGAGTTTTCTCTTTCCACTTGTCACTTTTCTCTTAGTTTTTCTTAGTTTTCTCAGTGTTTTTTGTTGTTGTTGGGCTTAGTTTTATGGTACCACGAGTTTATTCATTTTTTTGTTTGTTTTATTTGTTTGCGAGCGTGTTTCTCGGATTTTACATAATTGTCAAGTGCTAAAGGAGGAGGGGAAAAAGTGGGGTGATTTTGATTAGTTTTTGCCAACTTTTAACTGGGTAAAATTCCAGGCGTTGCCCCGTGGCTTCTCGAGTGTTTTGTATGCAAATCGTATCGCATTTTCGCCCCTCTATAAATACAAATTTATTTCTATATAGAGAGAGGAATATTTATTGAAAAAAAAAAAGATTGAGCTGTCTAGAATAGCTTGCACGCAAAGAAATTGTATACTTAATACATTTCACAGGAAACATTTTTTGAAGTGATGAAAAGTAATGAATTTGAAGTAATGAAACCTGAAGGCAGAGATGGGCACTTAGGGGCTTATTTGGCTCCCAAAGATCTTGTCCTTAAGGATAAATATAGCAGGAATTATCAATATTTAAAGCAAAAGTCGATATATATGCAATATATTTCCTTTAAAACGTATTTTCTCAAGTTTCCTGGCTTCTTCCTCCTACATTTAATCTTAGTTATCATCTCCCTTGTTTTTATTTAACAATTTCTCTTTCATTTTATATCTTCTTAATACCATTTTTCTTTCTGTGTGTCACATTTGCATTTTGGTGATTGGAAATGCAGTCTGGGGAAAACCCAAAAAGGGCGGCACTCTGGCAATGAGATGCAAACAAGATGGGTATCGATGAATCGTTGAATTTTGCACAGCTTTTCTAGTCGTGATGAAGTCTCTCCTCGCCTCTACCATTTTGCATAGATATTTATACACATATAAATCACAAATGAACAATAAAAAACCATATAATAATGTGCGACAATTTGTTTATTTGCTGACCTCTGTGCTCAAATCTGATCGCATACAAGGCTGTGCTCCGTGCTCCTCACTCAGCGGCATGTGCACACCGATACAGATACAGACTCATATGGGTCTCGAGATACAGATACAGATACAGATACAGATACAGATACAAATACACAAGCAGATCCGTCAGATGCTGTGTGAAGAAAGTGAATTAATTTCAATTAAAGTTGACAAAACTACGGCGCAAAACCCAAGCACTTTGCGGCAAACGAAACTAATGGGAACGAGTAAAAAAGAAAAGCTCTCAATCAGCATATAAAAAGTAAAGAAAATTTTCCACAAAATTCGGACTCCCGGAAGAGTATAAAGATCACTGTTGGCTTACAAAAAAATATATATAATATTAAAGAAACTAATTTAACACCTTTGGCGCGCATTTGCGAACTGAACCGCACCGATTCCCGAGTCGAACTGAGGCCGAGTCCCGGGGTGGTCAAGTCACCGCCCCCTTGGAGGAGGACTGGAGCGGATTCCCAAGACCGGGACCACTGGCGACGGACGACGAGTCGAGCCAAAAAAGGCGGTGAAAAACGGGCTCAGCGGCAGCCCCAATGGGAAATGGGATGCCGGTGCCGCAGCCTCAGTTCCTGAGAGAAAACCTGTTTAAATTGCAACGTTTGTACCCTGGGAAACGGGGCAGGATTGGATTGGATTGGATTGCGAAAATATTAAGAATGCTTTAATATATTAAAAAATAATTTTAGATAATATTTTATAGAATTTAGTTATTGTTTTAGCTTATTAAATATTCTATAGAATATAGAAAAGTATCCAAAGAATGGGATTGGTAATATAAACATTTTTATTTGTTTTAAAATAATATTTTTGAAATAAAATATTAACGAATTCTTATGACATTTAATTTCGATTTTTTCTTGTAAATTAATTTGGAATTTATCTTTATAAAAACATTGCATAACGAAAAAGTAGCTCTAATAACTATACACCTAATTTATAATGTAGAGCCAAAGCCAAAGGGCCAAAGATCTCCACTTACTAAGAAGGCAATAAACCTTAAAAATATATAATACATACAACTTCAGAAACTTTATAAATATTTTTTAAAATTTTGTATACAATATGTTGATTACAAAATAAATATTAACTTGCTTAAATAACAAATTTTAAGTTCTAAAGCCTCTTCTTTAAGGTACTGAAACAAAACCACCTTTAATAAAAACATTTTTAAACCATATTAAGCTTTTTTAAAAATATTAATAAAAGAAAAAGCTTTTCCAGAGACAACAGAAAAGAAAACTCGATGAAAACAATTTCCATCGCATTCAAATTGAAATTCCCTGTGCATTTGCCACCGGGCATTTATCACTTATCACAAACGCTCATTATTCATGATTATGCTTTGGCTTTTGTGCAAAATTGTGCAACTGCCGCCGCTGTCCCGGCTCACATGGACTACTGGCGGCTGTCTGGTCTGTCAGTGGTTTCCCATTATTGCGGAACACATCATCCTCCCTCCTCCCATCTGTCCCAGTCCAAGTCGCCAGCAATCCCTGTGCCCAGCATCAGTTCCAAGCTCAATCCCGTTCCCATTTTTTATTCTGACACGGGAAAAAACTCAATGATCTTACTAGAATTTTTCAGATTTTGTAAATATTAAATAAATACATTATATATTATATTAAATAAAATAAATGCAGTTCCCAATCATTAAATTCCTAAAGTTTGCCTGAAAAAAGTAAAGCGCTGACCTTAGCAAAATCTTGATTGATTTTATGTTTAATTTGTAAAACCTAAAAGTATTTTATTATTACTGTCAAAAAATTGTGTTTTTCAAAGGAAATATTCGAAATATTGTAAAAATTTAATAATTTTCAGTTGGAAATATTTAATTAAATATTTTTAAGCCCCTTGATATATATAAAAATTTCTTTAACTCAAAATCCATGGCTTATTTTTAACTTCAATTATTTATTTGTATATAAAGACATGTCAAAGTTTCTTTTCTGATAGATTTTATAAATAAATTGTTATATCATCTTTATAAAATAATAATTATTTGAATTTTAACAGAAAATATATCAATTTGGACCCAGAATTTGTTCTCAGTGATACCTCCAGAACTTGCAACAATTGCTGTGATTGTGCTGACGAGGTTTCTGTGGCTGAGCTTTAGCATCAGCCGACTGACTGCTGCACTATATAAATGTTGTCTTGCCTTGTTACAACTTGGTATTTTTGGCTTCTTTCGGAGTGCTCCGAGTGTGTGTGTCTGGTGTGTGTTGTGTGTGTGTGCGAGGGGTTGTGTGGTTTTTAATGAGAGTCTCGTGCAGGTCTCCTCCATTGTCGGAACCTGACTCTGCCGGTCGACGGGTATTGTAATTGATATTATTGTCAGGCAGAGTGGGTTTATTTATACTTTTGGTTAATAAGCAAGTTGCATTTTGTATGCGATGAGAGCAGCGTTGGGCTTTTATCTTGATTACAATTTTTATATTAGTACATTTTTTATGGTCTCATAAAAATGCAGTAAGGAAAGTAAGAGCTGAAATGCCTTTAAACTATTTGTTGACTGTAATAATTGCTTGACATTTTGTTTTAATTTAAGAAACTGACTTGACTCAACTTACATTAAATGCCAAACATTTCACAGAGCTCTCGGAAACTGGCAGACTGAACTAGTTAAGGTAAAATTATCCACTTAAAGGTGAACTTAAATGACTTGTAATTGGCATCTCTCTCTGGAATAGTTTCCGTATACTCTACACCTCCTCCCCCGAGAGTTTTCCTCCCCCCTTTTTGGCTCACTTTTTAATTACTTTTCTACGTAAAGCTTGTAGTTTGGCTCGTCCTTTTTGGGGGTTTTTTTTGCACGTTACACATTCTCTTGTATGATTAAAAAATTCTTGGGAAACAATTTTCATAGTTTTAAGCCGAGAAAAGCCGGTAAATCAAGCCGAGACACGCACACACTTGTTATGTGCAGTCTCAGATCTTGTGTTGTGTGTGGCAGCTACACGGTGAGAAATTGGGTTTAGTTTTGAGTTTTATGACATTTTTAAATGAGTGTATCTATAAAACTATTATTTTTTAAGGTGTTAAAAGGTATATGACATTTTTTTAAAATTTAAGAGTTAAAAGACTCATAACTAAGCCAAAACAGCAATGATTTAAGTTCGGAAAACTGTCCTATGTTAGTTTTTATTAGGTTAATAAAACTGTATACTAAATATAAGATTTTAAAAAATTGTAATTTTTTTCAATTTTAAAAATTTAAACAAACAAAATTTTAATGAAAAAATCTAAAAAAATTTGGAAATTTTTATTCAACCGGAAATTGCTAGATCAACTCGACTGTCGATGATCAAGAATATATATGATTTATAGGGACGGAATTATAGGGACTCCTTCACCTAGTTCTAACTTTCTGACTATAAAAGGAATACCCCTTTTGAAAGGGTATAAAAATGTATATGAAACTAAGCTGTGAACAAATAAAAATAAATAGGTAAACAATAACAAATAAAAATACATTCTAGAGAAATAAATTCTAAAGAAAGGCACACATGAGAAGGAGAAATGTATTTTACTTTTCTGGCTTAATAAACAAATAAACAAATTAAAGAACTCAGTAAATATTTCTTTATAATGATAAGATAATTAAGAAATAAGCTTGTAATATTCTTAACAAATATCATTAGCTGGAGTATAACTTAATCTCTTTCAAAGAAATAAGGAAATCAGCTTTAAATATCAAAGACAAATGTGTAATATAACAGTCTGAAGTCTGCAGACTAAAAAAACTAAAGAAAATTGCTTTAGGAAGATTCAAATATGTACTGCATACATATATCTTCTTAGCTTTCCAGCTTAAACCCTTATTTTTTTATTTATAAACTTGTAGTTCCTAATTTGCATTCTAAATAATTCAATTTCTTCATTTTGAATCCTTTGCTTTGAGCCAGTAAAGAAATAGTAGTGAAAATGGTAATGGTAATGGAAATGATAGTGTGAGTTTAAGGAAAACTCCATAAGCATCGCATGGCCGAATTTGTGTATACGAAAACATTTGTGGATTGTAGTTGGTAGCTTGTAGTAGTGATAGTAGTGACAGTGATAGTACTACTACTACGAATACGCAACAACAGCAACAAAAACAGCAGCAACAGCAGCAGTGGCAAGGAGGAAAATCAGCAGCAACAATAAACAGTGGCGCAGAGTCCAGAGTGCAAACCAATTGAAATTAATTTGCATAATATAAATCTGGACATTCAGCAATAGAATGGAACCGAAAGCACTTTCCAGCACCACTTTCCCCGCGTTGCACACATCGCGATGCCGCTAATTCTGGGATTATTCACAGTTTATTGCACTTAGTTTTCCTGCACACAAAAATATATATGTTCTTTCTCCACATCGGTTCAGTTCAGTTCAATTCAGAAGTTCCCTCTTTCGGCGTCACTTTTCCTCGTTATGTTATTATTATTATTTCCTCCTTTGGCAAGCCTTTCGTTCGTTGCACATTTTCATTGAGCGTTTTCGCTTTTAATTGGATTAGTTTGGGGGTATTTTCTTTTTATTTTATTTCTTTTTTTTGGTAGTGTTTTTAAAAAGTTTTCATTGGTTTCACTGGAATTTACTTTCCGCTCTACGCAACTCGCGCGTTGCTCTCGGCAAATGTTCCGTCTGTTGTGCCGGAAAATTGACGACAAATTGAGAGCTTTTGCTTCGGTTGCGTCGTTTGTGAGTGCTTTTGGGACTCCTTGGTTATGGCCCAGGGTTGTCAGGTTTCCCTTTTAAATATTTTAAGCTTAATTTAATTTAAGGAATGTTTATATAGTTGCTGGAACTATAGGAAAGACTTATACAAAAATATTATAATATGTTTTAAAGGGTTATTTGAATTATATTTATTTATTTATATAGCTTTGGCTTGACTAAGCTAGCCAAGACAAATTTGTTATGATTAGGTTAAGGTTTTAACTAGTCCCCGCTTAGTGATAAGTTAAAGCTTTGTTTGGCAGCCAAGACACAAACCCTGTGCGAGTAAATATTACGTATACGTAATATTACGTATACGTAATATTTTTACTTCCAGGAATTCTTTTTCGAACTTGACTTGGAGTTGCAAATTATAAACGTTTCCAGTTTTAATTTAATTATTATATTGAGAAAAAAATATATGCTTCAAATTTAAATGTTATTGAAATATTAAAAGATTAAATTAAAATATAGCCTTATTTTTGGGGAAAAAAGAAAGTGGTTTTCAATAGTAATAAAGGTTTTATAATCTTAAAAATAAACAAAAAGAGCCAAGTTACATTATAAAACTCATACAAATAAATTAAGGAGAGCATAAATATTTTCAAAGCCTTAAAGAAAGTATTTATTATTACTTTTAATCAGTAAACAGAAAATTAATCTTCGAATGCCCAATAAAAATTGTATGTTCAGTGGCACGAGCCAGTCAAGAGATATATATGTATATACA